GCATATAAGCTCTACTTGCATGAGGCGTGCCGCTTCCCGCTCGCTGTTCTGCAGTTTATTAAAAGTTTATTCATTCTGAACGTGTCGCGTCTCCCCCGTCTATCTATATTGCACCAAATACGTGCACTCCCTTGTGAAGTCGTTTGGATGAAAGGTTCTCGAAAGAATCAAAATGCAAACAGACGGACCGATATAAAGAGGTTCAAAAGCTTCGAAAATTCAATGTTCATTACTACCGAAGCATCAAAGCTCAAAAAATGGTATTCGGACCAGCCCTAGATTGAACAAAATGTATTTTACAATTATCCGTCTTTGATTTCGATATACAGTATTGTCCGGGGTATCGAAACACAGTAGCTGACACACTATCAAGACAGCCATTTGCAGGCGAACGTGAGCCAGCCTCAGAGGATGCAGAGTAGGATGGATGTGTGGCAGTCTGCAGATGGATTCACAGAGGTCCAGACCTGGACCCAGCACTTGTGGCTGCTGGGATGCACAGCTGTAAAGTGAGACAAATGCGGGCTGTAGTATCCAACTTCAATGATGGTAATGGACTGGGTCAGTGAAATACACCCACCTTTCCAGGTTATCCAAATGATGAATTTATCAGCTTCCAACAACAAGACACTGCGAATGGCAGCATCAGGAAGTTTTTTGGATCAAAAGAGAAGACTTTATATTTCATAACTGCAACTTCATTTAACATAATTGCAAATATTATCTGTAATTATTAATTTTTATCCCACAAATGCAGCTCATTAGTGGTTTTCATAATTCTTACCTTGTGATAATTTTCTGTATTTATGACTTTATTTCTTGAAACAGTCAATTTAGATCATTGTGTTGACGTGTTTGAAAGCAGCATCTATCAGCGGATAAATTAGGGGTCTGCTGATAGGACCTGCTTTTAAAAGCTATGCAAGCGCTCGGTAAAGAGTGTCATTGTTAATCATTGTTGCCAATCACAGACATTATATGTTGAGCATGTCAACCAAATGGCCAATCAAAGGTGTTTAAGAATCCGTTCAACACCGCTCAAATACTCGTCTCGTCACTTTTTTTTTTCAGTACCAACTAGGTAACGAAGTCTGCACTTTTTGACAACTCTAGTGATTATTTAACTGTGATTAGTTCTCATAATTGTGATTTTATATCTCAAAAAGGTGACTTTTTTTTTCTTAGAACTGCAACTTTAGTTCCCGTAATTTATTTCTAATAATTATAACTTTACATGTAAAAGTAAAATCAATACATGCATACTGCAACAGTCCCTGTCATCACCAAGCGTTATTTCACGATCTGTCTGAGAAAGCCGGTAGATTAACAAACCAAATGCCTTTTTATCAACCACGCATCATTTTGATACATTACAAAATGGCATGAGATGATGCACAGCAAATCTTTTCAGGCGAGAGATGTTTAAGGAGCATTGATTCGCTCAAGCCAGCAGCTGTGGCCCCTGACATTGAGAATAGGGTGTTTGCTTGTAATAGCCCCCCGACAGTTAAATGCATCAATGAAAGCAGCCACTGAAATCTCCCACACATTCTCGCACACAGTGGGAAAAATATGAGACATACTGCAAGATATTTAATCTGTTTTACGCTTCCATAGATGTCGGACTTCTAAAACCAATGTTCCACCAATGGACATTAATCTACATTAAATTGTGATAGCAAATATTTTAACATAAAAAACAAACAAATTCCCCTGTTAAATTAAAGCAGCAGTCCCTAACTTTTGGCACACGCAAACAGAGCTGCATGCGTCTTGCAGAAAAACATTGTAGCCGGAGCTACTTCTCTCTGTTTATGTCTATGAGGCACACAGGTACTCGGCTACTCTGGAGTGGTACGACCATTACCAATCTAAAATAGTCTGAATACAAACATTTATTATAGGTGTAATGTAGTGATTCAGGATAAGAAAAAAAAACACATGGTTTAGAAATTTGATCCATGATGTTTTTACTTATAATATACATTTTTTTTTAAAAAATTTGAACACACAAAAAGTCTGCAGCTTTAAAGGGATAGCCCACCCCCGATTTTTTTTTAAAACCACAATTGGGAATTGTATTGAGTTTCTGTTCAAAGTCAAAGAAAAGAAATAGTCCACCCAACAATTCTGTCATAAATTACTCACCCTTATGTCTTTCCAAATCTGTTTGCATTTCCTCTTTTTTTTTTATCTTTATTTTTTTTTTCTTTTCGGGGGAACAGAAAAGATGATCTTTTGAAGAACCTTTTTTTTAACGGTTTCCATTGACTTCCATTACATTTGTTGTCAATGGAAACTGAAATTGTTTGGTTAACACTTGGTTAACATTCTTCAAAATGTCCTATTTTAGGTTCCAAAGAAGGGCTGACTAAATGATGACATAATTTTGGGGTTGACAATCCCTTTACCTTAATATACAATATATTAGTTAACTTTGACTATATTAGAAAAGAAAATCTGTGAAGTTTCTAATTCTTGTGTAACAGAGTGACTGAAACTGTGGCATGCAAATCACACCTTGAAGCATGTCGAATGTGTGATGTCTGAATGTGCTGTGATTAAGTGAAGAACTGTCGCTGATGATTTCACTCTCTCCAAGCCAAGGAACAAGTGCACCCTGGGGTATTGTAGCTAACAATCCATTATTCAAGGAGAAGGCTTTAGCTCCAAGCTGCAGAAGCACATTTGACTCCAGGAGGCTCTGAGGCCACGCTCAGTTACAATTATAGCTCCTAGCACAACTAAAGAGGTGAGCATACTTAAAACAGACCTGTGAAGTCAAAAAAGACTGGGATGCTACAAACACATGTATAAGCAATCAACGTATGCCCAAATGAAAAATATTTGGACTGATATGACTATACTAAAGCAGCATCCAAACTTCGAAAGCGATACAATCTACTGTTGGGGAACATATAAATGAAGAAGTATTCACAATTCATCACCTCTGTGAGAACGCTTCATCATATACTTCAGTGCTCTAGCAGCCTCAAGGAGACACTTTACAAAACCAGGTTCATCCCCTCAGGGTGAAACACACACACACACACACCACACACATGAGACCGGTTCCTCTTAGACTGTAATGAGATTCAATAGAGTGCATATTTGAGCATATTTTGCTTCTCAGTTTTTTCTCAAGATGAAAAAGATCCCAGTAATCTCCCATGTGTCTCCTCTAGTCTAGCGTTTCAGTAGAGATCTCGGTGTCTTAAACTTTGCTCAGATTTGCCAAGAAACCAAGAAAATTTGGCAAGAGTTTCAGTATGAACTTCAACTCTTCCAAATGATTAAAGATATCTTATCAACATTGTTTTTCTTTAGTTATATTCATTATGTCAACAGTCGATTATTTGTATTAATGAAAGTAGGACTTCCTGTGTCTCTCAAGCTACGAAAGAACAACCAAGCATTAAAATGTCCTTTCTTCTCTTTGAATGCACTGAATTTATTTGTTCCAGATGGATGATTTAACTTTTGTTTTTACTGCTAGTCATACTGCTGATCTGAATGTCAAAAATCACCATTGAATCATCTAAAATTAGTGTGTATAAGTCAATAAGCACATATAAGCATACTAAATCTAATGCCAAAAGACAATGATTTTTTAATGATTATAATTAGAGGGATCTTGACATCATTGAACATTATCTTCAAGATGTTTTACAGCAGTTCTGCTCTGAATGATGTTAAAATCCACAATGAAAGAAGCAAGAAGGAATCCTGTCCACTCTCACAATGACAGCACATTTGTATCTGAATGGATATGCATCATTCTCATGTCCAATGTTCACTGTGACTGGAGATCAATATGAACAAGGAGAAACATCCACTGAGCTCCGGTAAATAAATCTCTAGTCCTACCAGCATGACAACTGATCAGTCTCCTTCTGTTTCTCAAAATTCTGATGTAATGTGGCAAGCTGTTTTAACATTGACCTGTTAAAACTAACTATGTATTTCTATTTGTATTTTACTAGGATTTATATTTTAATTACTTGCAAGTAATCCATTGACTGGTATCCCTTTCTTGCAGTATTTCTACAGTAACTATCCAGCAAATAATCATATTGTTTTCTTACAGTGACTAGCATCATTTACTCAGTAGTGTCTATCCCATTGCTTGTCATCTCAATACTGACAAGTAACTAATCCATGATCAGCTAATTAATTGCAAATATGTGTCATTAATTCAATAATGATCTATGATTCAGACATCAGCAATTTACAGACAAAAAAAAATCCAACTGTTGTTGGTCCCTTTTCCAGTTTTATATTTAGTTTTGCATTTGGTTGACTTTTTTCAAGCCATACACATGAGTTTCATTAACATACAAAAACAAAGCTGGAACAGCCACTATAATTTGGGATAATGACTAGCAGGAAAGAATAAAAACAGTAATCAAATAATGATGTGTTTATTTGTGCTCTATATTCATTGACTGACGAAGTGATTAATTGTAGTACTGTGTAAACTAATAAATAATCATAGTATCACTGTTAATAGGCTATGGGAATAATTGGTGAAATTAAAAAGTAATAGCTCTTTACTGGATTACCTGGATAATTATTAAAATAAATTAACAACTGGTGCCATAATAACATAATTCGTTTTTAAGGATTAAATGTCAAAAGAGCTTGCCATCTATAAACCGTGGGAGTATGATCATGAAAGCTGTAGCAGCCTGTCAATGGGATACCTTGTAAAAATGTCTCTCTTACCTTCATTTGACCAATAAAAACAGCATGAGCTTCAATGAAAGGCATTTCAAATCTCCGCATATGACTTGTGATCAGTTAGCCTACTGCAAACTATATGGTCACTGCGTTCTGTTGTTAATTCCAGGACATGTTTGAGATGCACAGTAAACATTTTGTTTCAAACGAGTTACGTGCCGAATTATGCAGTTCTTATTTTGTTTCGTCTCTCTAGAATTGAAAGTTAAACAACATGACTCACACTAAAAAAAGCATGCATCCTGCGCTTTGCCACTTACCTTTGACGAGATGCGGGATAGCGAGGTGCACGCAGAGAACGATGGAGACGAGCAACGGTCCCATCCTCACCAAACAGCAGCTACGAGTTCCAAGGTTGCAAACGTCCAACGTTACCTACGGTTAAAACTTCTTTCTTCCACTGAGATACACGCACAGGTTTTCTACTAAGTATCTCCTTGGACAGGTGTCAGTTAAGACCGTGTTTTGATTTTTTTTTTCTCTCCTATAAAGGGTCAGTGCAGATGAATTAAGTGATCCTCTCAGGAGTTCCTCTTGCCCTTATGCTGCAGTGGCACGCGGCGAGATAACAGAGAGACTCCACGCGGGTCCCGATCAAACGGTGATTGCGCGCGGCTGACGGTCAGTGTAGCGCTCGAGCAGCGGCGCTGTCTAACTGATAAAGACGAGCCTCGCTCCTCCCCAGCAGCCCTGGAGCCTCCAATACACAGAGCGAACGGCAAAACCCAAATGGGTGGGACACGGACACTGTCAGTGTATGTATTTCACTTCGCTCTGGGAAAGGCGCTCTTTTTGCTCTGATCAGGTAGAGCGGCTTAACTGTTCTGACCTCCCTTCCGAGATTTATCACACAGTCTCTTCTGTAGGCTAGGTGAGATGGTGGAATATATGGCCCTGTAGATATGAGACCAGGGATAGGTGTAACAATTTTTGCTTTGATATTTTTGCGCTATAAAAATCTGATCGTCCCATATTATCTAATACAAATAAAGAATGTGCACCGGCGACGCGTTACCCGCGTGAGTTGTTACAAAAGTCGACATTTTTTTTATTGAAAACCTATTATTTCATGCATCACGCTAAAACCTAACATGTAGGCCTAATTAAAATTGATAATTTCAAAATGTAACGGGTTTAAACAAATATTTATTTGTAAAAATTGACAGTTAAAAATAAACACATAAACAACTCAAAGACTTTAAAAAAATTCTAATCAGATTTAAAACACTTGGTACTTGTCTACTTTGTCAATGGTTAGCTACAGAGAAAAGTATCATAAACTTACATTCATTACAGTGAAAAGCAGTGGAGCGGGTGACCGGTTTAAGATGGCGGCCCCATGGCTCGTCTGTGCCAATAGGCAGTAGCGGTCAATAGGGCATCTATCTCTATATGATGGTTATGGGCTGCACCCTCCGATGGTTGCATTTGAAGGCCGATTGCATCACCATGGTGCAATGAAGGCTGTCCCAATTCAGTTCTGCATCCGAGGCCATATACGGATGCCGGTTGCCTCACCGTGGTGCGACGAAGGCTACCCTGATTCAAAAGCGATGCCAAATCCACTCTTCATTTCCCTGTGAAAGAGACTATACTTAAATGGATCCTAAGTGGCCTATTCTGTCCCATAATTCATTGCGCTGGTGTCGATAGCATTTTTATTTAAAAAAGGTTGGCAGAGAGTTCGGTGGTTGACGGAAAATTCACATTTGAATGAAAGTATTATGTTTTCATTTACTCAAATAGCTAGAGAAACCAGAATTAAAAGAATTTTTTTTTCATATTCATCATAAGTCATTCGTCACTGTGGCTTCATTTGTCATGTGGTTTGAGGCAAAATTTGTGCTAATATTGGTTTAATAATTGTGATGCGATCTGGGAAAACCCATCACAAAAACAATATCATTTAGCTATCCTTCTCTTAACACTACGTTAAAGGTAAAGCGTCAGTTGTATGACGGCCCGGGATCGTCATGTAACCGACGTTTAAGGGTACCCTAAAAAGGCGGATGTTGACGTATGGTCAAAAGACGTCCCAAGATGTCAGTTATATGACTTCTTGAGATGAGACTGTGTTACAGCGGATGTTGACGTATGGTCAAAAGACGTCCCAAGGCGTCAGTTATATGACTTCTTGGGATGAGACTGTGTTAAGATATTTCACCTATCAAAATAAACCACACGACGGAATAATGTCCAGTCCTGGGTGAACTACAACAGCCCGCAAGTTTTTGTTTATTTATTTTTATCCAGTGTTATCATGTAGTGAGCACAAGAGAACAACAGAGTTTGAAGCTGCTGGTTTAAAAGACCTTGCTCGCCTCTCAATCGTCCACTTTCAAAATGTTTTTCACAGGATGAATTTTGAGTTTGTAAGCTTTCGAATGATACCTAATCTAAGATGATTACTAAAATATGTGATATGAAAAAAGGCAATAAATAGTGTCAGTAGTCCCACTAACAGGACGTGACAGTTAATTATACTGTTTACTAGTTTTTTTCTCAAAATTCCGTTTCTGAAACTCATAGCGATCATCCAACTTCAGATAATCACAAATTTTGTTACAGAAAAGCGATAAAAGAAATAAAAACAGACTTGGAAAGGGCTTGAACCCAGCTTTAAAGGTGTCTCAAAACCTGTAATATGTCAAATTTCACCATGTGGTGGGTTTTCCCAGATCGCATCACAATTGTTTCAGGGAGCAAGGAGTAGTGGAGGACAGAAGGCCTGCAGCACAATAGGACCCATCACATTAGTAGGGACTAGGAATATATCCCGGCCTAGGGTATAGAAATGCTTTAACCATACCAGGTGCAAAATCTAATCATGAAGGAGCAATCGAAAGAGCTTGTAGATCTCCAATTCTTTTAAACGAAGAAATAAAGATAAGAAACAAAGCTTTTAAGGTGAGAATTTTTTTTTAAACTTCTTCGATAGGCTCAAAGGGAGCCAAAGCCAGACCCTTGAGTACAATAACCAGGTCCCAAGCCGGTGCTCTGGAGTGCAAAGCAGGCCTCAGCCTCAGTGTTCCATGGAGAAAACTAGTTATTAGAGGATCTCTCCCCAGAGAAGAAGCCCCCGCAGGGGATCTAAAGGCAGATATAGCCGCAACATACACCTTCAAGGTGGAGGGAGTTAGTCCAGCAGAGAAACGGTCTTGAAGGAAATCGAGAACTGTACCGACGGGGCAGTCAACAGGATTTAAAGTACGTTCTCCGCACCATGTAGAGAACAATTTCCATTTCAAATAATACAGTTTTCTCGTGGAGGGAGCTCTGGATTGAAGAATGGTCTCCACGACCTCAGTCGAAAGACCAGCACTCACGAGCTGGGCCCCCTCAGAGGCCAAGTCCATAGTTTCCACAACTCGGGGCGAGGGTGAAATATTGTGCCCCACGCCTGTGAAAGCAGGTCCCTCCTGACCGGAATCTCCATCGGAGAGTCGCCCAAGAGAGACACTAGGTCCGCAAACCATATTCTGGTCGGCCAGTGCGGGGCTACTAACAACAGATGAGCCCCTTCCTGGCGAACTCTTCCATAACCCGAGAACGAAACTGAATTCTGTACCCCTTTTCTATAACATGCAGGACCCATTGAGAAATATCTGGCAGTAGTTTCCATGCTGCCATGAATTCCACTAAGGGGACCAGTCTCTCGAGACTGGCCTCGGGATTTTGTTGAACACTGACACATCGGTGCCCTGAAACGGCGAACCGACAGGGGACAACCGATGTGGCAGCGCTGCAATACTCCTCGGAGTATCGCCCCTCAGAGGGCGCAGAGGAGGAATGATTTCTCGAATCCATCCCTCCTCGGAGGGGACCACCCTCAGAAGTCTGACCCCCTGCGAGTCAGGACTTCTTCTTACTCCAGGCCTTTTTAGAGATGACAGTCCTTAGATCTTACCTACCCCTAACTGACCTGGATTGTGACCACCACTGAGGCTCCGAAGACTGAGGAGGAGCCCGGGCGGCCACACTTTGCCTTTGGCGTGCTCTGTGTGAGGAGCTAGTACTCGGCTGAGGCTGCTCAGATCTAATAAAAGTTATATGACCAGCAGTCTCAGGAACATCAAAACGGCAAGGAAGAATTTTCTGAAACACAGCTGTCTGCTGTTTTTGTTTCTTGAAATCGATTGAAGACACAGTTAATAGCGTCACCGAACAGACTTGACGGTGACATTGGTGTTTCTCGTCTAAGAGAACAGATCTTTTTCTTTTATCTCAGATAAATTCAACCATAGGTGGCGCTCTGTGGCCACCAGGGCTGCCATAGACCAGCCCACTGATTTGGCCGTCTCCTTAGTGGCACGGAGTGCTAGATCTGTCGTGCGACGCAGTTCTCGAACTGCGTAAGCGCTCACCTCCTCGCGTTCATCAATTTCCCTTAGCAGATCAGCCTGGTATGCTTGTAGTATGGTCATTGTGTGCAAGCATGACGCAGCGTGACCTGCTGCCGAGTATGCTTTACCCACCAGAGAGGATGTAAATTTTAATGGTCTGGTGGGTAACGTCGGGGCTTTTA